GGGGGAGCCGCAAAACCTCGATTTAAAACTTACACTCACTATTTTCTTCGAAAATATACGTGAGTTCCAGAAAAGAACGTGAGTTCCACAAAAATAAAAATATCAATAAATATTAAAAATATATTTTAAAATACTAAATATTAAAAAACTATTGATTTATTATTAATTAATTCGCTCATGATTTCCCTAATTAGCTAATTAATTAGTTAATTAGTTCTTAATGGTCTGTAATGAGGAGGATAGCGGTTGCTATGGAAACATATCCAATAATCTATGATTCGCGCCGTATGGTTGCTAGGGAAACGCAATGATCTTTGACCTTTGACCCCGGTTGCTAAGGTCTGTAACGTTCTCTTTCAATGTTGCTATGTGTCTGTAATGGGGGATGGGGGGAGGGGATGGGGGGAGGGGATGGGGGGAGGGGATGGGGGGAGGGGAGGGGGGAGAGCCGCGAAACCTCGACTTAAAACTTACACTCACTATTTTCTTCGAAAATATATGTGAGTTCCACAAAACACTGACGAATCTGTATCCCATCGTGATGGTACGCCATCGTCCGCTTCTTTGTATTGAAACTTTTCTTTTCGACCTTGCCCTTTAGCCATTGCAATGCGCAATGCTTCATACGTTGGATTATCGTTTGGAGCAGCAAGATTGTAAACTAGAAACAAAATTCAAGGTTCAAACGAATTCTATTGTTTTCCAGGAAACTTACGTTGCCCATCGACAATATTGCACGGAGCTCGTCCTACAGCGACATAATCTTCGGCAAGATCATCGATATGAATCCAACTCCAACGCATATCCCTTCGTCCTTGAATAACTAAAGGTTCTGAATAGAATAGATCGGCCACGAACCACCTTGACCACCGCAGACAAAGCCAGGCCGTATAACTGTTGTCTTGAGTGACGCACAAGAGCTAGCCAAGACATAATTTTTATAATCTCCTCGTTCCTTCATGTTCGTGACATCGGCCGACGAGGAACTAGCACTTTTTTTCATCAATTGAGGTCGTGGCTTAATTGTTTCATCGACCGGACGACGACCCGTTGGAGATGTGTCACCATCTAGGGAAAATATGACTAGATTAATGCAACAAGATCTTTTGTGATTTTTTCAATATAGACAAGTAAGAACTTGATTTGACTCAAAAACATGTTCTTTATATGATTATTTGTTAACTTTATGACGACCCAGCATCTCTTGAAAACCCATGTGAAATAAAAAGTGCTTATGATCTTTCAGTTACGTGAAAAATTGAAAGTTTTTAGGATGGATATCTTGTATTGTAAACGTAACTTTTTACTAAGTAAAAGCTATACTAAAAAAGTAGTAATTCATTCCTTGACCGAAGGTTGAGCTACAAGCAAAAAATGAATTCTAAGATTAGTCTACTTGTATGTATCATATCGTGTGCATATTTGTTACAAATTTAAAAGTCATAATGTCTGAAGTGAAGATAAAAAGTGGAGCATATTGTGCTAATTTTCCATTATGAGTTCGACCATTTCCGGATCGAAGTGCTGCTTCCAAAAGTAAAAGTGACAGTTTTTGGTTGAATCCGACAGCATCGATAATAATCGAACATGATGCAAGAATATCAGCAACTTGTTGAACTTCGTCGAATGATGAAGCTACTATAGGTTCGATCTCATTTTGTATTAACTTAGTAGAGTGTTTCGCATCACAAATCATTCCATACACTCGATAACCAGCGCGGCGCATGGCCTGAGCTGCACCAAGACCAATGTAGCCACTAGCACCGAAGACAAACACTGATGATGATATTCTTTAAAAAGTGAGTCTAAAAGCCAATTCAAGATCAGTCAAGTTCTCTTCTGTATCCAGTTAGATGCGCGAAGAAACACTTTAGACCTCTTTTTCTTTGTTCGACTAAATAAACTGTATCATTATCTTTAACATAATGGTAAAGAAACCATACGCCAGTTACAATATTTTTCTGGGAAAACAAAGAGTAGGTATTGTGTTTCGACAATCTCATTGTAGCCTACCTTCTTTTGCACTCAACTACTTGTCAGATTAAATGCATGCATCGTCATAGAGAAGAAGTTTGCGTGTTTTTATATCATTCTCTTGTATGCGCATTATAATAATAATAGACTGTAAAGGGAAGAAGAAAGACAGCTACTATTCTTTTCTTTCATTGTTGCATTGATACACAACAGCACAAGATTAAAAAAGATTTGATAAGGTTGATTCTTTTTTTTTCTTGCGTCCTGCTCAAATAATATATGAAAGCAAAGAAGTATCTAAAACGCATGCATCGAAGAAAACTTACCGCAGCCTGTTAGACAAAATCCGCCCAATAGGGGAACAATAGGAAGATTACTGAAAAATAAATCATAGATTTTTTTTTCAAGTCTTAACAATTACATCATAAAAAATGTTTTGCGTATTGATTAAATATTTTTCACTACTAATGGAAATCAAACTACTTAAACCATATTATGAGTAATCAGGTTTATCAGTCGCACTTCTTGAAATGATAGTAATACAGTTGTTGATTAAGCACGTTATAAATTGATGAAAGAACAAAGAAAAGATATTTCTATATGAAACAGAGTGTACTTGTCGAACAATCTTCTTTCATCTAATCTTTGTAATCTACACACATTCTATAAAAAAGTAATTACACTTTTTGTCTCGATATCTGAGAGTTATTCCAGATGTGAAAAACCATCAAAGTTCAATTCTCAAATTGATAAAACTATAGTAAAATTCTTTGGGAAGTCATGTTCGTAATTTTATAAACTTTCGTGAGTTTTTTTATGCCCAAATTGAAATATGAATATTATTGTGCCCAAGGGTGTGGGTGTGGGTGTGTACCTAAAAAGGAGGCACAGGGTGGG